CAGGACTTCAAAGATACCTGGTCAGACTGGACACCTGGTCCAGCAACTGGCTTCTCGAATTTAATCCCGCCAAATGCAAAGTCATGAAAATAGGGTAAAGGCACAGAAGACCGCAGACAGAGTATAGGCTAGGTGGCCAAAGACTGCAAACCTCGCTCAAGGAGAAAGATCTTGGGGTGAGTATAACACCAAGCATGTCTCCGGAAGCACACATCAACCAGATATCTGCTGCAGCATATGGGCGCCTGGCAAACCTGAGAACAGCGTTCCGATACCTTAATAAGGAATCGTTCAAGACACTGTTCACCGTGTACGTCAGGCCCATAATGGAGTATGCAGCACCTGTTTGGAACCCACACTTGATAAAGCACGTCAAGAAACTAGAGAAAGTGCAAAGGTTTGCGACAAGGTTAGTTCCAGAGCTAAGGGGAATGTCCTATGAAGAAAGATTAAGGGAAATCGGCCTGACGACACTGAAGGACAGGAGGGTCAGGGGAGACATGATAACGACATATAAAATTCTGCGCGGAATAGACAAGGTGGACAAAGACAGGATGTTTCAGGGAGGGGACACAGAAACAGAAGGTCACAATTGGAAGTTGAAGACACAGATGAGTCAGAGAGATATTAGGAAGTATTTCTTCAGTCATAGAGTTGTCAGGCAGTGGAACAGCCTAGAAAGTAACGTAGTGGAGGCAGGAACCATACATAGTTTTAAGACGAGGTTTGATAAAGCTCATGGAGCGGGGAGAGAGAGGGCCCAGTAGCAACCGGTGAAGAGGCGGGGCCAGGAGCTAAGACTCGACCCCTGCAACCACAAATAGGTGAGTACACACACACTCACACACACACACAGACACACACACACACACACACACACACATACACACACATAGGGCTGAGGTGTAGAAGACAGGAAATGTAGTTCCAATTTTTATTAAAGGAGACAGGCAGTGTTCAACTAGGGACCAGTGTCACTGACATGTATAGTCTGTAAAGTTATAGAGAAGATTATCAACAGAAGATTGGTGGGGCACACTGAAAGGATTGGGCTCATACATGACAATCAGTACGGCTTTAGGGATGGGAAATCCTGTGTCACAAATCTACTTGAGTTCTACCCTAAGTTAGAAGGACGGGAGGAGAGAGGGGATGGGTAGATTGCATCTTTTTGGAATGCAAGAAGGCTTTTGACACAGTACCACACAATAGACTGGTTGAAAAGCTAGAGGAACAGGCAGGAATGGTAGGGAATGCATTGCGATGGATCAGGGATTAACTGACTGGTAAGAGACAACGGATGTTGTTTCGTGATGAGATGTCTGAGTGAACCCATATGTCGAGTAGGGTTCCACAAGGGTCAGTCGTAGGTCTAGTGCTGTTTCTTGTATATGTGAATTATATGATGGAAGGAATAGATTCAGAAGTTTCCGTGCTCACCGATTATGTGAAACTAATGAGGAGAATACAAGAGTAAGATCACAAAGGGATCTGGAGAGGCTGCAAGCCTGTCCAGTTCCCTATCATAACTTTGAAGAGCAAAGTAATTGAGCTTGGGAAAGGACAAGAAGACCGCAGATGGAGTACAGGCTAGTGGATCAAAGGCTGCAAACCTCATTTATGAAGGAACACAACTAGAAGTTAAAAACTCAGTTCAGCCATAGGGATATTAGGAAGTATTTCTACAACCCTAGAGTTTTCAGAAAGTGGAACAGTCTGGAGAGTGAGGTAGCTTTTGGAAGAAGTACGATAATTCTCTTGGAGCAGAGAGAAAGTGGATCTAATTGGGACTAGCGTAGAGGCAGGGCCAGGAGCTGTGAATCTACCCCTGCAACCATATGTATGTGAGTACACACACACACACACACACACACACACACACACACACACACACACACACACACACACACACACACACACACACACACACACACACACACACACCCACACACACACACACACACACACACACACACACACACACACACACATACACACACACACACACGCACACACACAGTGATAAGGTAATCATCTAAAGAGGAGACTATACAGGCATGAAACATTTCCTGAATAAGGAATAATGGGAAAGATAACTTGAGGAAAACACAGTGCCTGGGAAGACTGAGTACGTGACTTTAAAGTGCTAGAAGATAGGAGAAATTCATGCATAGGAGGGAAAGAAACAACTTAATAGTAACAATAATAATATCTTTATTTACTACAAGTACAAGTACAAGGTATACAGGCTTAGCTGACGTCAGTGACATATTACTATATAGAAAGCCGCTTGTTATGCAGAGCATTTCGGGCAAATTAGGTCCTTGTCTGAGGATGCCACCCCACACCAGTCGACAACGAGAGAACGGTGCTAGTAAGTAAGTAAGTAAGTTTATTCAGGTATACACAAATACAGTTACATAGAATTATCATACATAGCAGCATATGTGTAGAAAATCTAGGATAACCCAAAAAAGTCAGACAGAGTGACTTATTTCCATTGGGGTCCTTTTACCTTATTATTATAATATAAAGGTTATAATATTTTCTTATTATTCTATAATGAAGATAACATCTTATTATCATACTATAAAGACTATCTACTACACGAGGGTCATTAAGACTATCTACAATACGAGGGTCATTACTAGGAATAAGGTAAAATTTACACGTATGTTAGCTAAAAAATAGAAAATCATTCCCCTCCCTTTCTGTAGCTACATTCATCAGACACCTTTTGGCACTCTTCTTGAACTAGTTTATGCTATGACTGGCTTTGACATGTGCGGGTAGTCTGTTCCATTCCTTTATTGCTGTACAATAAAAGGTGTTTGAAGCCTGGCCACTGACTGTGGGTACTACAAAGTTGTGCTCTCTCCCCCTAGTACTATGATTGCTTTGGTTCCCAACCTTGACAAAATTGACAGCAAGATATTCTGGACACTGTTTGTGAGCAATTTTATAAACATGATTTAGCTTCAGTTGTTTTACTCTGTCTTCAACATTCAGCATATCCAACTGCTGTAATTCATCCTGGCCTACATGTTCTCTTTGTCCCAGCCCTAGGATGAATCTTACGATTTTGTTCTGGGTGATTTGCATGTGCTAGAGAATGGAAAAAAATAGAAGACAGAGAACTCAGAAAAACAACAAATTAAGTCGAAGATCCAGAAAAGATTATGTATGGGTAAGAAGAGAGGCTTTAAAACAGTTTGAGAATAACAACTCTTTGAAACCCGAATCTGATCCAGCGTTGTTATGTAGCCACATCAGGAGGAAGACATGAAAAAGGTAGGAGGGAAGCTCAAAAGGAAGTACCAGGTAATCCGTGAGGAGATCAGTATGAAATTCACGGGGGAGGGGGTATTCTCAGTAATAGGTAGATTACTAAATCCAAGCAGGAGAATAGAATGGCGAGTGTTGGAATCAATACAAATAAATGGGGAGGAGGTGGAGAACCTCCCTTTTGTGCTGGATACCTCGAAGGTGGTTAGGTACTAAACGAGGAAGCAGAGGTACTGTGTGTGTCACTAGCAATAATTTTCAACAAATCTATCGACATAGACCAGTTGCTGGAATGTCGAAGACAAAATGTAGTCCCAATTTTTGAGGAAGGTAGCGTTAAGCTCTAGGCCAGTGTCACTGATATGCATAGTATGGAAGGTTATGGAGTAAATTATTAGGAGAAGAGTTGTGGAGACCTAGAAAGGAATGGACTCACATAAGATATCCAGCACAACTTTAGAGAAGGTAAATTATATCTTACAAACCTGCTGCAGTTCTTCGACAAGGTAACAAAAGTAAAGGAAGATGGAGAGAGAGAGAGAGAGAGAGAGAGAGAGAGAGAGAGAGAGAGAGAGAGAGAGAGAGAGAGAGAGAGAGAGAGAGAGAGACAGACAGACAGACAGACAGACAGACAGACACATAGACAGACAAACAGAGAATTGGTAGATTAGCTTTTGACACAGTATTTAAAATGAGAGTGGTACAAAAGCTATAGTGGAACAAGGAAGAATTACAGTGTATTTCACTACAGTAGATCAAGGTATACCTAACAGGAACTAAAGAGTGAGTGATGGTCAGTGAAGGGGTGTCGGAATGGGTGTATGTGACAAGTGGGGTTCCACAAGGATCAGTACTAGAACCTGGAGTATACCTGGAGAAGGTTTCAGGGGTCAACGCCCCCGAGGCCCGGTCTGTGACCAGGACTCATGGTGGATCAGGGTCTGATCAGCCAGTCTGTTACTCTTGGCCGCACGCAACCCGACGTACAAACCACTGCCCAGCTGGTCAGGTACTGGCTTTAGGTACCTGTCCAATTGAACAGTTTTGGGCCCTTGACACTTACTGTGTTCTCTTATTGTGCTAGTGGCGCCCCTGCCTTTCACTGGGGGATGTTGCATCGTCTGCCGCGTCTTTTCTTTCATAGTGTTTATATTCATGTATCTCTCCCGCCTGCGTTCTAGGGAGTACAGGTTGAGGAACTTTAAGCTTTCCAAGTAATTGAGGTTTTTCATCGCAGTTATGTGTGCAGTGAAGGCTCTCTGTACATTTTCTAGGTCAGCAATTTCACCTGCCTTGAAAGGTGGTGTTAGTGTGCAGCAATATTCCAGCCTAGATAGAACAAGCGACCTGTTATTTATTGACCTGAAGAGTGTCATCATGGGCTTGGCATCCCTAGTTTTGAAAGTTCTCATTATCCATCCTGACATTTTTTTTAGCAGATGCGACTGATACAATATTGTGGTCTTTGAAGGTGATATCCTCTGACATTATCACTCCCAGGTCTTTTGCATTTATTTTAATATTTCTTAAATACGTGAATGACATGATGGAAATGACAGAGTCAGAAATATCACTCTTCCCAGATATTGTGAAACTAAGAAAGCTTTATCCTGCCGCTCTTTTGCCACTAAACTTGCAGAATTTACCTCCTCTTGGCACCTGAACTTCTCCACTACCCCGTACCCGGCCCGTGCCCCACCCCTCTCAGTCAGCAGAGAGCGGTATATAAGGAGAGTGAGTGTCGTGTTGCTTAACAGTTCAGCCATGAAATTACCTGCTGTCCAAGTCATCTTTTTGGCGCTGCTACTGGTTTCCTCACAGGTGAGTAACACCTCCATTGCGTCCTCTTGCTGAGGATATGTACAGTAAGACGTGTGTATCTCTCACTGTATATACCCTGAGAGTTATTTCTCTCAGTTTATATACCCCGAGAGGTGGGTTTCTCTATGATGAAGTATAGATACCATGACACTAGTGTACCTCTTGGTGTATATGTACTGAGAGAAGCGGAACTCGGTGCATGTACACTAAAGTTTACTTTAATTAATATTTTAGGTATTAATGTATTCTTGAATAGGTGTTTACAGGTGTCATGCAAACTTAATGACTCTCGTGCAGTTGGAGACAAACAGCACAAAGCAGACGTTACCCCAAGTGTGTAGAAACCAACCATGCTACAGCTCTTCTCTCTACAGTCAGGCTTACAGTGGCAGGTGTCACTACTAGTTATAGTAACATAGTTACAGAGACTGTCAAATTAAGTGTTGGTCTGTAACAGTCTGATCTTTGTGTTATAGTGATGTAGTGACACAGTCGCTTCTAGCTTTAGCTTCAGACATATATACTGAAGTTACAGTAATGTGTGTACCTTTATATACCTACATAAGTAGAAATATGAAAAGTGATTCACTGGTATTAATATGTTATGAAGACATGAAAAGTTGGGATTATTATTATTATAATCAAAAAGAAGCGCTAAGCCACAAGGGCTATACAGTGTAAAGTTGGGAAACAACTTGAAACAGAAAAGTGATTTGTGTATTTCGCTTTCATACATAATCTTCCTCTGCAGAGGAAATAATAGTCTGTCTTACCACTGTTGTATTTTACGATTCATATGGGTTCTCACTTTTCACAGTGATTCATCATTAGTACCTCAATGTGTGTTAGTATTTATTTAGGTTTTGCAAACAAGCATTTAAAGTTTTCATTGGTCATGAAAGTACAGTTTTTCTTGGATAAACACACATTATGGCAGTAAGGAGAGCTGATCTTGATAAGTTACCCCATATACCAGCAGTTACTGATGGTTTCTGTTTCACTTACACAGGACGCGCACGCCAGCTGGTTGCCACGACAGGACGCGCAAGGTTCCCAGCTTGGTTTCTTAAATCCAGTCTTTGAGGCTCTTGCAGGAAGACACGCTATCAGATCTAGGACCCGCAGACATACTTTACAGAAGTCTCCACACAGCTTATTCTTAATCGAGGCTCCTATAGCAGACAGTGGATCTTACGTTATGGAGTCCTCAGAGAAAGAGAGAGGAGAAAGGGTTCGAAGAGAGTTCCCGCAGGATTCCCCACTTAGCTTTCTGAACCCTATCATCCAGTTTCCTAGGACCTCCGACGGCCATCCTCCAGGACTCATGTTCTTCACAGCTCCTACGAACAAGACAACCCGGAAATAGGTAAATGAAGCTGATCCAGGACTCCTGAAGCCTGTGACACCTACGTCTCAAGCCTAAATTATTTGTTTATGCTAACATCTTAGTGAGTTACCCGTCCAGCTGGGCAAAACTCAGTCCCATCAAGCTGTAGAGGCCACATTAAGCTCAGCTGTTTGGGGTAATAAATTAAATTAATTTTTATTTAATATTTCCTTAATATTTCCTTATTTTCTTACACTACAGTTATAGTTTTATAACTGTAGTGTAAGCGAGTCTCTGGCAAGACAATGATGGAGTGAATGATGATGAAAGTTTTTCTTTTTTAGGCCACCCTGCCTTGGTGGGGGAAATTCGATGCCTTAAGGAAAAAAAATTTTTTTTGAGAGATATAAAGATATAGGTGAGACACATGTATTGTACATTATGTATTGTAGTTGAGAGATATGTATTATGAATGAGAAAAATGTATTATTGATAAGACACTTTTTTGTAGCTGATAATATGCACTGCAGGATGAGAAATATATATCGTGGTTGTGTTTTCCAGAGCTGACGTCATCAGGTGTGTTTACACTGCCAGGGCTGACACCAGGTGTGTTTACACTACCAGGGCTGACACCAGGTGTGTTTACACTACCAGGGCTGACACCAGGTGTGTTTACACCACCGGGACAGACAACATCAGGTGTGTTTACACTACCTGGGCTGACACCAGGTGTGTTTACACCACCGGGACAGACAACATCAGGTGTGTTTACACTACCAGGGCTGACACCAGGTGTGTTTACACCACCGGGACAGACAACATCAGGTGTGTTTACACTACCTGGGCTGACACCAGGTGTGTTTACACCACCGGGACAGACAACATCAGGTGTGTTTACACTACCGGGTGACACCAGGTGTGTTTACAACCACCGGACAGACAACATCAGGTGTGTTTACACTACCAGGGCTGACACCAGGTGTGTTTACACCACCGGGACAGACAACATCAGGTGTGTTTACACTACCAGGTGCGTGTTACACCAGGTGTGTATTTACACCACCGGGACAGACAACATCAGGTGTGTTTACACTACCTGGGTCTGACACCAGGTGTGTTTACACCACCGGGACAGACAACATCAGGTGTGTTTACACTACCAGGGCTGACACCAGGTGTGTTTACACCACGGACAGACAACATGCAGGGTTTACACTACCGGGTGACACAGGTGTGTTTACACCACCGGACAGACAACATCAGGTTGTTTACACTACCTGGGCTGACACCAGGTGTGTTTACACCACCGGGACAGACAACACCAGGTGTGTTTGCACTACCAGGAGTGACAACACCAGGTGTGTTTGCACTACCAGAACTGAAAACACCGGGTGTGTTTGCAATACCAGAACTGACAACGTAAGGTGTGATTGCACTACCAGAACTGACAACGCCAAGTGTGTTTGCACTACCTGGAGTGACAACACTAGGTGTGTTTGCACTACCAGAACTGACAACGCCAAGTGTGTTTGCACTACCAGGAGTGACAACACCAGGTGTGTTTGCACTACCAGGAGTGACAACACTAGGTGTGTTTGCACTACCAGGACTAAGAACGCCAAGTGTGTTTGCACTACCAGAAGTGACAACACTAGGTGTGTTTACGCTACCAGGACTGACAACACCAGGTGTGTTTGCACTACCAGGACTAAGATCGCCAAGTGTGTTTTAACTACCATGAGTGACAACAGCAGGTGTGTTTGCACTACCAGGACTGAAAACACCAGGTGTGTTTCCACTGCGACTAGTGACAACACCAGGTGAGTTTGCAGTACCAAGAGTGACAACAACAGGTGTGTTTACACTACCAGGACTGAGAACACCAGGTGTGTTTACACCACCAAGACTGAAAACACCAGGTGTGTTTACACTACAAGGACTGACAACACCATGTGTGTTTACACTACGAGGACTGTCGTCACCCGGTGTGTTTACACTGCCAGGACTGACAACACCAGGTGTGTTTACACTACCAGGACTGACAATACCAGGTGTGTTTACACTATCATGACTGACAACATCAGGTGTGTTTACACTACCAAGACTGACAACACTATGTGTGTTTACACTACCAGGGCTGACAACACCAGGTGTGTTTACACTACCAGGACTGACAACACCAGGTGTGTTTACACTATCATGACTGACAACACCAGGTGTGTTCACACCACCTGGGCTGAAAACACCAGGTGTGTTTACACTACCAGGACTGACAACACCAGGTGTGTTTACACTATCATGACTGACAACACCAGGTGTGTTTACACTACCAAGACTGACAATACTATGTGTGTTTACACTACCAGGGCTGACAACACCGGGTGTGTTTACACTACAAGGACTGAAAACACCAGGTGTGTTTACACCACCTGGGCTGAAAACACCAGGTGTGTTTACACTATCATGACTGAAAATACCAGGTGTGTTTACACTACCAAGACTGACAACACTATGTGTGTTTACACTACCAGGGCTGACAACACCAGGTGTGTTTACACTACCAGGACTGACAACACCATGATTGTTGACACTACCAGGACTGACAACATCTGGTGTGTTTACACTACCAGGACTGACAACACCAGGTGCGTTTACACTACCAGGGCTGACAACACAAGGTGTGTTTACACTACCAGGGCTGACAACACAAGGTGTGTTTACACTACCAGGACTGACAACACCAGGTGTGTTTACACTACCAGGGCTGACAACACAAGGTGTGTTTACACTACCAGGACTCACAACACCAGATGTGCTTACAGTACCAGGAGTGACAACACCAGGTGTGTTTAGGCTACTAGGACTGACATCAGGTGTGTTTACACTTCAAAAGCTGACAACACTAAGGGTGTTTGCACTACCAGGGCAGACAACACCACGTGTTGTCTGCCAACACGTGGTGTTGTCTGACAACGCCAGGCATGTTTACACTACCAGGACTTGACAACATCAGGCGTGTTTACCAAGACTGACAACACTATGTGTGTTTACACTACCCGGACTGACAACAACAGGTGTATTTACAATAACAGGACTGACAACACCAGGTGTGTTTATACTACCAGGCTGACAACACCAGGTGTGTTTACACTACCAGGACTGACAACACCATGATTGTTGACACTACCAGGACTGACAACATCTGGTGTGTTTACACTACCAGGCTGACAACACCAGGTGTATTTACAATACCAGGACTGACAACACCAGGTGTATTTACAATACCAGGACTGACAACACCAGATGTGTTTACACTACCAGGCTGACAACACCAGGTGTGTTTACACTACCAGGATTGACAACACCAGGTGTGTTTACACTACCAAGACTGACAACACCAGGTGTGTTTTCAATACCGAGACTGACAACACCAGATGTGTTTACACTACAAGGACTGACAACACCAAGGGTTTACACTATCAGGACTGACAACACCAGGTGTGCTTACACTACAAGATTGACAACACCAGGTGTGTTTGCACTACCAAGACTGACAACAGCAGGTGTGTTTACACTACCAGGACTAACAACACGAGATGTGTTTACATTACCAAAACTGACAACACCAGGTGTGTTTACACTACCAAGACTAACAACACCAGGTGTATTTACACTACCAGGACTGACAACACGAGGTGAGCTTACGCTACCAATGCTGACAACACCAGGTGGGTTTATACTACCAAGACTGACAACACCAGGTGTGTTTACACTACCAGGCTGACAACACCAGGTGTGTTTGCGCTGCCAGGAGCGATAACACCAGGTGTGTTTACACTACCAAGACTTAGAACACCAGGTGTGTTTACACTACCAGGCTGACAACACCAGGTGTGTTTACACTATCAGGCTGACAGCACCAGGCGTGTTTACACTACCAGGCTGACAACACCAGGTGTGTCTACACTACGAGGCTGACAACACCAGGTGTGTTTACACTACCAGGCTGACAACATCAGGCGTGTTTACACTACCAGGCTGACAACACCAGGTGTGTTTACACTACCAGGCTGACAACATCAGGCGTGTTTACACTACCAGGCTGACAACACCAGGTGTGTTTACACTACCAGGCTGACAACACCAGGTGTGTTTACACTACCAGGCTGACAAAACCAGGCGTGTTTACACTACCAGGCTGACAACACCAGGTGTGTCTACACTACCAGGCTGACAACACCAGGTGTGTTTACACTACCAGGCTGACAACATCAGGCGTGTTTACACTACCAGGCTGACAACACCAGGTGTGTTTACACTACCAGGCTGACAACACCAGGTGTGTTTACACTACCAGGCTGACAACACCAGGAATGACAACACTAACAAAACTCGAATGTAACATGAATACGGATCTGAAGGTTCCCACAATAATACAACAGCTGTATCCACGAATGACACTGAATACAGAGAACTGTGACCTCTGCATAACACCAAGGACAATCAGGGCTTCCCTGCATGCTAATCAGGTTCGGATTAACCATTCAGATGCAGCCTGATGCTAGCTAGTATAAGAGGCGCAGCGAATTGTGATCCGCAAGAGAATTAGTTAAGACGATTGATTTCTTATTCGCGAGGTAATCAGGTTTGATCCATGAAAAGGAAGGTTGTATCTCGTATTCTTGGATCAAAATCCCTCACTATCCTCCGTTATTGTAAATTTAACTTTAATTTGTTACAATATTAATAAGGAAACTATATCCAACTGATTGTTAATATGTCACACAATATATATTATGTATATTTGGAATAAATATAAATCTATGTTTTATTTTTGGTCTGTTTTGAGAAAGAACAAGATTTAAATTATAATAAAACTGTTAGTATAAATACGTGGAGATGTATATCTGTGTATATATACACTCAGAATTGTGGATCTTTCAGTGCATGTACAAGATTTGCATCTATCAGTGAATACAATGAGTGTTGGAAATTTGTATATATATATTAATATATATATATATATTATATATATATAATATATATATATAAACACTGATCTCTGGCTGAAGGAGACTCGAACCTACAAACCTTAGGACAAGGTACGCAGTGCTTTACCAATCTACCCCACACTGGACCTGGTCCAGTGTGGGTACCTTGTCCTAAGGTTCGTAGGTTCGAGTCTCCTTCAGCCAGAGATCAGTGTTTGTGTATATTTCGCATGCTCTCGCCATTTCCATGCATATATATATATATATATATATATATATATATATATATATATATATATATATATATATATATATATATATATATATATAATATATATATATGCACTGGGAGGTGTATATTAGTGTGCACCGAAAGTCTATCACCAAGTGTGTATGCATCGAGAGATATGTATCTTTGCATATACACTGAGAGGTGTTTATCAGTGTATATACATCTAGAAGTGCGCATCTCAGCGTAAATACACTGAGATGTATTTTTCTGTAGATATACGCTGAGAGGCATGTATCTGTGTATATAGGCCGAGGGGTGTAAATTTCGTCTGTGTATATACATGGAAAGGTTTGAATTCCATTGTATATACACTGAGAGGTTTGTATCCCCTAGTGTATATTCACTTAATTTAATCTCTTTTTTAAGTATTAAAGTGTTAAAAAAGTGATTAAACACTTGTGTTGCAGAAGTGTGAGCGACGCTCACACTTCTGCAACACAAGTGTCCTTTGTAACACAAGTGTCCTCTGTAACACAAGTGTCCTCTGTAACATAAGTGTCCTCTGTGACACAAGTGTCCTCTGTAACACAAGTGTCCTCTGAAACACAAGTGTCCTCTCCAACACAAGTGTTTTCTGCAACAGAAGTGTCCTCTGTAACAAAAGTGTCCTCTGTGACACAAGTGTCCTCTGTAACACAAGTGTCCTCTGCAAGACAAGTGTCCTCTATAACACAAGTGTCCTCTGTAACAAAAGTGTCCTCTACAAGACAAGTGTCCTCTGCAAGACA